GCAGATACGTGATGCAGGATTTCGTCCATTCGCCGACATGACGCCGACATGCCTTTTCTTGCCAGCGGTCTGGCATCACTGCTAAGATTCAGGGTTTGGAAGGGATGGGCCTTAATCGAAAATCGATGCAGGATTTCGTCCATCAACAGTATCACTGCTATAGTACTACATGGTAGCTCAAGTTCATAATCTGATTATTGTCGCTACCGTTGTTGCCGATGATACTGACAGCCATCATACGCGCGTTCTTTGCCTTGCCTACAGTAATCAACTCCGAAGTTGATGATACCAGAATTAAGAGTAGCCAGCATCAGCAAGATGGAAAAGGGTAGAGTGAAAAAAAGCATGGCAGCCATGTATGGTGACATGAACAGTCATCGCCGTCACTGCTTGCGTTGATGCTTTGCAGAAGGATATGTCCTGGCCGCCTGCCCAAAATAGGCCACGTAGAGCAGCGAAGCACGATCAGAGCCCGACCGGCTCCAGCCGGCCCGAAGGCCGAAGCGCCGAAGCCTAGCAGCCCCAAGGCGCATCACGGGCAAGAGAGCGGGCCGTGTTGCACATTTAAAAGCTGGAACCCTCAACTCTGAAACCTGTGCTCTGGGCCGTTTGTTTCTTGGAAGTCGTTGAAAATCGATTACCCTTCTGGTTTGACTTGTAGCGTAAGGATCGCCTCGATGAAGTACCGCACACCGATGAGTAAGAACGGGGCGACGGTTGACGAGCACGATGCTGGTGTTGCTGTTGGTGGTGATGACACTTCCAGGATGGCGTTTGACGGGGTTTTGTCTTCTTTGTTAGCGCGATGGGTTTGGGGGCTTTTCTTTGAGCCATGGGGAGTCAATGATGCTGGGGATGGGCCGGACGGTCACAGTGAACGGTGGTTGTCCTGTGGCGGTGGTCCTGAAGGGGGGGTACGGCACCCGCCTGGGAAAACGTGCTTCCCATTGTACCTCTCCGAAAGAACCCCCAAACCCTGAACTCAACCAGGAAGAGCAGGACGCTTTGCAGAACGGGGCAGTTTCATATCGATAGAAGTCCAAATGAAAAGATCGCATCTCCCCTAAGCCCTAAGCCTTAGACCCCTAAACTTGAAACTGCCCTGAACTGCCCTAAACCCTAGCCTTACCTAGGCCATCTCCGTCGCCTGCAACCCAACTTCCGAGAATCTTTCAACTCCAAGCTTGTCCAGGCTTTCGAGGCTTCGCCTGATCCAACCGATCAAAGCCAGCCCCTGTGAGACCCCTCTGAAGCCGGAAAAAACAGACCTAAACCGTATAAGCGTATAAACTAAACCCTAAGAGCTCTAAACCCTAAACCCTGCACTCTTTTGCCGATGCAGGAATTTAGCTTGCGCACGTTGAACAATGCCGCCCGTTGCACAATGCCGCCCGTTGAAAAAAGCCCTAAACCACATACCAATGAAAGCCCCTAAACCCTAAACCCTATGAACCCCTAAATCCTATAAACCCCCTGAACCCTACAAACCCATAAACCCTAAACCCTACAACCCCTATAAACCCATAAACCCCAACAAACCCAAGGAGGGCAAGCCCTCCGCCCCCCTTCGGAAGCCCCTCCCTGCCAGGCCGATCCTCCGAAGTCCAGCAGCCCCAAGGCCTGCAAGGGTTTAGGGGTTTATAGGGGTTTATAGGGGTTTATAGGGGTTCATAGGGGTTTATAGGGGTTCATAGGGGTTCATAGGGGTTTATAGG